GACTAGCTGGCTGAGAGCCCTCTGTGCCACCTGGCTGGGGACGGGGACCTCAAGCCAGCCCTGCACGCTGCATGGGGACACAGGCCAAGCACCGCCTCACCCTGCCAGCGGCACCGAACCACATCCCTTCACCTGGGCGCCTGCAGGAAGGCGTCCCTCGAGCGTCCCTTGTCCCCAGGGACCACCTGCGCTCACCTTCCTGCCATTCCTGTGCGGACCCGTCTGCACCTGCCACCGCAGCTTTGCTGTTCCTGTCCTGATCCTTCTTCTTTTTGCCTGGATTCTTCTTCTGCTTAAACTCCTGCGTGTCCCAGTCAAGATCCCAGAGCCAGGGGTCATCCTTGTACCTGCCAACACACTCCTGTCACACCATGCCTTTGCTCCTAGCCCCCCAAGGACCACCCGCTGCCTGGTCTCCATCCTGCGAGCAGCAGGACCTGCACCCCCAGACCACGGGTACCTGTCCTCGTGCAGCAGCTGGCAGGCATCGTTGGCCAGGTTCATTAGGGACTTCTTCATCTCCTTCTGCAGCTCCTCATAGATGCCCTGAGCATCGTCCAGGTACCTCTTCCAGTTCCCGTTGACTGGCAGGTAGGACACTCCCATCTCCAGCATCCCTGCAAATGTCACGGGGTGGGGGCACCTAGAGCCCGAAGCAGTAAGGAGTTAGATGTCCGCTGGAGATGATTTGCCCTGGAAGCACCAGACTATGCCAGACACCAACATGCCTCGCAATATCAGGTCTTCACCTAGAGTTTCCCAGCCCCACACTGCCCTCGATGCCCTTCCTCTCAACCCATACAGACTCCTGTACTTTTTGCCTGCCCTGCGCACAAATCACAGCTCTAAAAGCAGCCCTGCGCACTAACCCCAAAGCGGTATTGCTCCAATCCGCCTCGTTAAGCCTGCTCGCCTCCACCAGCCACGCTGCGCTGCCGTTTATTCCTTCTCGCGTGCCTTGGGGTTCAGGGCCTCCCAACCTCCTGCTGCCACCCCAGGGACGCCATACCCCATCCCCAGAGGGACCGTGACCTTCCCTGCCGCCGGTCAAGACCGCAGCCAACGCCGGGCAGAGCTCGGCAGCACCCACCTCTCCATGAAGAGCGGCAGCTGCTCCTGAAACACCTCGTGGGTGGCCTGGACATCGCGGGCACAGTACGACATCAGGTCCTGGGGGCACAGGCAGGTGAGAGCAGGCAAAGCGGCCACCCCTCTGCCGGCACAGGGCAAGGCACGGCGGCTGTGGGAGGATGGGGGACATCACAGCCCCACGCCCACCCAAAGCCCTCAAAAGGAAGGGCAGCAAAATGGGAACTACCCTGGCAGCGCCTATCGCCCCACTCCCAGGGGATGGCTCCGGCTCCTCCCGCCCCTTGCGGCCCTGGGGAT